TGTATGTCGGGTGCTTCTACCCGTCGTAACCGGGCGGTTGGTAAACATATTGTGACGGGTGTAGAAATATAACCATTACTTCAAACTAGTTCAACATTATATTGTGTATCAGTATTTGAGTAACTCGCTACAAGAACCCGCATGTGTTATTAGAACTCATCATCAGAACAGTTTGTGACCAGAACGTGTTGTTAGAACTCATCGTCAGAACAGTCTGACATTAGAACGTGTTGTTAGAACTCACCATCAGAACAGTCTGTCACTAGAACGTGTTGTTAGAACTCACCATCAGAACAGTCTGTCACTAGAACGTGTTGTTAGAACTCACCGTCAGAACAGTCTGTGACCAGAACGTGTTGTTAGAACTCACCATAAGAACAGTCTGTCACCAGAACGTGTTGTTAGAACTCACCATCAGAACAGTCTGTGACCAGAACGTGTTGTTAGAACTCATCGTCAGAACAGTCTGTCACCAGAACGTCTTGTTAAAACTCACCATCAGAACAGTCTGTCACTAGAACGTGTTGTTAAAACTCACCATCAGAACAGTCTGTGACCAGAACGTGTTGTTAGAACTCACCATCAGAACAGTCTGTGACCAGAACGTGTTGTTAGAACTCACCGTCAGAACAGTCTGTCACTAGAACGTGTTGTTAGAACTCACCATCAGAACAGTCTGTGACCAGAACGTGTTGTTAGAACTCATCGTCAGAACAGTCTGTCACTAGAACGTGTTGTTAGAACTCACCATCAGAACAGTCTGTCACTAGAACGTGTTGTTACAACTCACCATCAGAACAGTCTGTCACTAGAACGTGTTGTTAGAACTCATCGTCAGAACAGTCTGTCACAAGAACGTGTTGTTAGAACTCACCGTCAGAACAGTCTGTCACTAGAACGTGTTGTTAGAACTCACCATCAGAACAGTCTGTCACCAGAACGTGTTGTTAGAACTCACCGTCAGAACAGTCTGTCACTAGAACGTGTTGTTAGAACTCACCGTCAGAACAGTCTGTCACTAGAACGTGTTGTTAGAACTCACCATCAGAACAGTCTGTCACCAGAACGTGTTGTTAGAACTCAGCGTCAGAACAGTCTGACACTAGAACGTGTTGTTAGAACTCACCATCAGAACAGTCTGTTACTAGAACGTGTTGTCAGAACTCACCATCAGAACAGTCTGTAGCTAGAACGTGTTGTTAGAACTCACCGTCAGAACAGTCTGTCACTAGAACGTGTTGTTAGAACTCACCATCAGAACAGTCTGTCACTAGAACGTGTTGTTAGAACTCACCATCAGAACAGTCTGTCACTAGAACGTGTTGTTAGAACTCACCATCAGAACAGTCTGTCACTAGAACGTGTTGTTAGAACTCATCGTCAGAACAGTCTGTCACTAGAACGTGTTGTTAGAACTCACCGTCAGAACAGTCTGTCAGTAGAACGTGTTGTTAGAACTCACCATCAGAACAGTCTGTCCCTAGAACGTGTTGTTAGAACTCATCGTCAGAACAGTCTGTCACTAGAACGTGTTGTTAGAACTCACCATCAGAACAGTCTGTCACTAGAACGTGTTGTTAGAACTCACCGTCAGAACAGTCTGTCACTAGAACGTGTTGTTAGAACTCACCATCAGAACAGTCTGTCACTAGAACGTGTTGTTAGAACTCACCATCAGAACAGTCTGTCAGTAGAACGTGTTGTTAGAACTCACCATCTGAACAGTCTGTCACCAGAACGTGTTGTTAGAACTCACCATCAGAACAGTCTGTCACTAGAACGTGTTGTTAGAACTCATCGTCAGAACAGTCTGTCACTAGAACGTGTTGTTAGAACTCATCGTCAGAACAGTCTGTAGCTTGAACGTGTTGTTAGAACTCATCGTCAGAACAGTCTGTCACTAGAACGTGTTGTTAGAACTCATCGTCAGAACAGTCTGTCACTAGAACGTGTTGTTAGAACTCATCGTCAGAACAGTCTGTAGCTAGAACGTGTTGTTAGAACTCACCATCAGAACAGTCTGTCACTAGAACGTGTTGTTAGAACTCATCGTCAGAACAGTCTGTCACTAGAACGTGTTGTTAGAACTCATCGTCAGAACAGTTTGACAGTAGAACGTGTTGTTAGAACTCACCGTCAGAACAGTCTGTCACTAGAACGTGTTGTTAGAACTCATCGTCAGAACAGTCTGATACTAAGATGTGCTTTTAGAAGTCATCATCAGAACAGTCTGTCACTAGAACGTGTTGTTAGAACTCGTTCGTAGAGGCTGTCACAAGAACTGGTCAGTAGAACGTGTTGTTAGAACTCATCATCAGAACAGTCTGACACTAGAACGTGTTGTTAGAACTCATCATCAAAACAGTCTGATACTAGAACTTGTTGCTAGAGGTCGTCACTAGAACTTGTCGCCAGAGCTCGTTAGAAGAGGTCGTCACTAGAACTTGTCGCTAGAGCTCGTTAGTAGAGGTCGTCACTAGAACTTGTCGCTAGAGCTCGTCAGTAGAGGTCGTCAGTGGAACTTGTCGCTAGAGCTCGACAGTAGAGGTCGTCAGTAGAGCTTGTCACTAGAGCTCGTTAGTAGAGGTCGTCACTAGAACTTGTCGCTAGAGCTCATCAGTGGAACTTGTCGCTAGAGCTCGACAGTAGAGGTCGTCAGTGGAACTTGTCGCTAGAGCTCGACAGTAGAGGTCGTCAGTGGAACTTGTCGCTAGAGCTCGACAGTAGAGGTCGTCAGTGGAACTTGTCGCTAGAGCTCGACAGTAGAGGTCGTCAGTGGAACTTGTCGCTAGAGCTCGACAGTAGAGGTCGTCACTAGAGCTTGTCACTAGAGCTCGTTAGTAGAGGTCGTCACTAGAACTTGTCGCCAGAGCTCGTTATTAGAGGTCGTCACTAGAACTTGTCGCCAGAGCTTGTTAGTAGAGGTCGTCAGTGGAACTTGTCGCTAGAGCTCGTTAGTAGAGGTCGTCAGTAGAGCTTGTCACTAGAGCTCGTTAGTAGAGGTCGTCACTAGAGCTTGTCACTAGAGCTCGTTAGTAGAGGTCGTCAGTAGAACTTGTCGCTAGAGCTCGTCAGTAGAACTTGTCGCTAGAGCTCGACAGTAGAGGTCGTCATTAGAGCTTGTCGCTAGAGCTCGTTAGTAGAGGTCGTCATTAGAACTTGTCGCTAGAGCTCGTCAGTGGAACTTGTCGCTAGAGCTCGTTATTAGGGGTCGTCACTAGAACTTGTCGCTAGAGCTCGTCAGTGGAACTTGTCGCCAGAGCTCGTTATTAGGGGTCGTCAGTAGAGCTTGTCACTAGAGCTCGTTAGTAGAGGTCGTCAGTAGAACTTGTCGCTAGAGCTCGTCAGTAGAACTTGTTGCTAGAGCTCGACAGTAGAGGTCGTCATTAGAGCCTGTCGCTAGAGCTCGTTAGTAGAGGTCGTCACTAGAACTTGTCGCTAGAGCTCGTCAGTGGAACTTGTCGCTAGAGCTCGTTATTAGGGGTCGTAAGTAGAGCTTGTCGCTAGAGCTCGTTAGTAGAGGTCGTCACTAGAACTTGTCGCTAGAGCTCGTTAGTAGAAGTCGTCACTAGAACTTGTTGCTAGAGCTCGTCAGTAGAGGTCGTCAGTGGAACTTGTCGCTAGAGCTCGACAGTAGAGGTCGTCACTAGAGCTTGTCACTAGAGCTCGTTAGTAGAGGTCGTCACTAGAACTTGTCGCCAGAGCTCATTATTAGAGGTCGTCACTAGAACTTGTCGCTAGAGCTCGTCAGTGGAACCTGTCGCTAGAGCTCGACAGTAGAGGTCGTCAGTGGAACTTGTCGCTAGAGCTCGACAGTAGAGGTCGTCACTAGAGCTTGTCACTAGAGCTCGTTAGTAGAGGTCGTCACTAGAACTTGTCGCTAGAGCTCGTCAGTAGAACTTGTCGCTAGAGCTCGACAGTAGAGGTCGTCAGTAGAGCTTGTCGCTAGAGGTCGTCAGTGGAACTTGTCGCTAGAGCTCGACAGTAGAGGTCGTCAGTAGAGCTTGTCACTAGAGCTCGTTATTAGAGGTCGTCACTAGAACTTGTCGCTAGAGGTCGTCAGTGGAACTTGTCGCTAGAGCTCGACAGTAGAGGTCGTCAGTAGAGCTTGTCACTAGAGCTCGTTAGTAGAGGTCGTTACTAGAACTTGTCGCTAGAGCTCGTCACTAGAGCTTGTCGCTAGAGCTCGACAGTAGAGGTCGTCAGTAGAGCTTGTCGCTAGAGCTCGTTAGTAGAGGTCGTCACTAGAACTTGTCGCTAGAGCTCGTCAGTGGAACTTGTCGCTAGAGCTCGTTATTAGGGGTCGTCAGTAGAGCTTGTCGCCAGAGCTCGTTAGTAGAGGTCGTCAGTAGAACTTGTCGCCAGAGCTCGTTAGTAGAGGTCGTCACTAGAGCTTGTCGCTAGAGCTCGTTAGTAGAGGTCGTCACTAGAGCTTGTCACTAGAGCTCGTTAGTAGAGGTCGTCAGTAGAACTTGTCGCTAGAGCTCGTCAATAGAGGTGGTCAGTAGAACTTGTTAATAGAAGCAGGGGATAAGCGTTACGCGCCTGATTCTGCCAATTACACTCTTGGTGATTTGTGAAAATAATTCCTTGCAAAATTTTCTAATGGTGTAGTTTCATCAAATCAAAACTGCCTCCACACTTCACCTTTTACTCTCACCAGTGTCAGAAACCGTATGGTAAACGTTAAAACCAGACACTCTGTGTGTCCGCAAGCTACTGAAGATGAATAATAATAGTATTACCCTTTTTGCTCATTTCAGTTTGTTTTCAGAATGAGAGCTCTCCACCTTAGCAACGGACCATGAACGGAATCGATGTAGAATACAGTAATCGTATAACGAAACACTGCGCACTTCCTGTCCTTTCAATTATCCGTTACTGCTGATCGGTGGCACGTCTTCTACGAATTGATTGTTGTGACGCCCTTACGTCTGAGCCTCTGGGAGGGGTATAAAAGCTACTGAGACATACCACGGTGTCACTGTCTCCGGGTCGCCATGGCTGAATGTAGAGTCATCATCGTTGTCGTTGTGGTGATGTTGGGGGCTGTGGTTGGTCTGACTACGGATGGCCACATACAGACAACACCGTCTCCTGAAGTTCAGCATGTGACAACAGCATCTCGTTTCCATGGAAGTTCTACAACGAAAGATTTGAGGAGTGGTGATGGCCTGGACAGCGCGAGTACGGGTTCTACTCCAGTGAAATGTACCGTTGGTGGAAGTCCAACTGGGAATAATGCCTCTGTCGCCTGTGTTGACGATCCGTCAGACGACCCAAGCAACAACACTGACGCCATCGAGAGCAACGTTGTGATGTGTAAAGAAGAGGGCGAAGAAGGTAACATAACTATTTGTAAAAGAACGAACACTAAACGGGTTTCAGTCATATCTCTGGGTTCTCTCAGCAAGGCCAATTACATAATAGCGGAGGAAATATGCAGATATATCTATTACCCACTTCTGGCCAGTGCAGTTCTCCTCAACACCTTCAACATAATGGTTTACACCGACCCCGCCATGAGAAGTCCCACCAGCACCTACCTGATAGCTCTTGCAACTGACGAACTCCTCTTTGCATGTTTATCCACTTTGAGATCGACTCTCAAGGCTGTTTACGGTGTCGACGCTGTAAAGAAACAGCTGTATCTCACATTCGCCATGTACGTTTCTAACTTCGTCTTAGCAAGTCTCCGTGTCCTCATGTACTGCCTGACTGTTCTCGTCTCCCTGGAACGTTTCCTTGCTGTCGCCTTCCCGCTAAAGTCAAGAAGCTTTCGCTTAATCAAGTCACCTCTTATCTTCATAGTGGCGATGTCCGCGATTTGTTTTCTATGTCATTTACCAGGAGCTTTTAAATACAATGTTGTCCCCAAACCCAACTCGACAGACTATACCATCAAGCCATCGGTGATGTTCATTAACAACAGGAACCTCCTACTCGGCATTGGGGCGGCCAACAAGATCCTCTTTACCTACATCGTCCTCGTCTGCGGACTCATCATGAACCTGTGCGTCCTCCTGGCTCTCAGGATGCACAGCAGGAACAGACAGAAGATGAACACGACAGTTGACGCAGAAAAGGCGGCAAAGCGAGAGAGGCAGACGACAATCACCATCCTGACTTCGACATTCCTCTTCACAGTTCTGGCAATACCTCTGGCTACAGATTCCATGGTCCAGACCTTCGTGGCTGATTATAATGTGTACAAGAAGGAACATTACGTCAACATGCTGATGAAAGAGGTCAACGGTTTACTTATCATGTTCAGCCTGTCCACTGACTTCGTGTTCTACATTGCATTGAGCAAGGCCTACCGACGAACCTTCTTCAGACGACTTCCTTTCATGGCGACGATCTGCAGACGACAGCAATATGTGCAAAACTCATTTGGGACTCAATCTCAAACACAGGTGTCGACGTTGTCTGAGACTTGCAGTAAAGATTCATAAATCTATAATGTATAGGGAGCCGATGGCAGGATGAAATAGTAGCCGTGATGAAATAAGTAACTGGTAAACGTCCAAGTGAACAGAGTTAATTATTTCGATCTGTCAGCTGCATATTCGGCAAGGGATGTAATTCAAAGTTGTAATCGTTACTAGTGTGCGTGCTAGGGCGTTCCTTCGACGCTGTAGCGCTGAAATAATGTTCAAGGCAACGTTACTTTGGGCGTTCCTTCGACGCTGTAGCGCTGAAATACTGTTCAAGGCAACGTTACTTTGGGCGTTCCTTCAACGCTGTAGCGCTGAAATAATGTTCAAGACAACGTTACTTTTGGCGTTCCTTCGACGCTGTAGCGCTTAAATACTGTTCAAGGCAACGTTACTTTGGGCGTTCCTTCAACGCTGTGGCGCTGAAATACTGTTCAAGACATCGTTACTTTGGGCGTTCCTTCGACGCTGTGGCGCTGAAATACTGTTCAAGGCGACGCTACTTTGGGCGTTCCTTTGACGCTGTAGCGCTGAAATACTGTTCAAGACAACGTTACTTTGGGCGTTCCTTCGACGCTGTACCGCTTAAATACTGTTTAAGGCAACGCTACTTTGGGCGTTCCTTCGACGCTGTGGCGCTGAAATACTGCTCAAGGCGACGCTACTTTGGGCGTTCCTTCGACGCTGTAGCGCTGAAATACTGCCCTAGGCGACGCTACTTTGGGCGTTCCTTCGACACTGTAGCGCTGAAATACTGTTCAAGACAACGTTACTTTTGGCGTTCCTTCGACGCTGTAGCGCTGAAATACTGTTCAAGACAACGTTACTTTGGGCGTTCCTTCGACGCTGTAGCGCTGAAATACTGTTCAAGGCGACGCTACTTTGGGCGTTCCTTCGACGCTGTAGCGCTGAAATACTGTTCAAGGCGACGTTATTTTGGGCGTTCCTTCGACGCTGTAGCGCTGAAATACTGTTCAAGGCAACGTGTCTATGTGCGTTGCTTCGCCACTGTACCGCTGAAATACTGTTCAAGGCGACGCTACTTTGGGTGTTCCTTCGACGCTGTAGCGCTGAAATAATGTTCAAGACAACGTTATTTTGGGCGTTCCTTCGACGCTGTAGCGCTTAAATACTGTTCAAGACAACGTTACTTTGGGCGTTCCTTCGACGCTGTGGCGCTGAAATACTGTTTAAGGCGACGCTACTTTGGGCGTTCCTTCGACGCTGTAGCGCTGAAATACTGCTCAAGGGGACGCTACTTTGGGCGTTCCTTCGACACTGTAGCGCTGAAATACTGTTCAAGGCGACGTTAAGTAGTGAAAGGTTCAAAGGTCAAATATGTTCTTGTTCTTGTTTGCTTATCTTAACCTATATTTTCTGTACCGGTGCACATGCCTGTTTACTGAAGTTAACGTATATATTTTGTACAGTTGTGCGTGTGTTTACAAAAGTTGTACTTGTACTTTTCCTGATTGGTGCAAGGCATTACGGGATTGAACCAGGACTAGCCGAGTCGGAGTATAATGTGACACAGTGGGGGATTCATGTTGGATATGTGTTGTGTACAGTAGCGCGTGGCTATTTGCTATATCTACGTATATATTCAGTACAGTATCGATCGCGTGGCTATTTGCTAATGTTTAGGTATGTATTCTGTACAGAATCGTGTGGCTATTTGCTAATATTTAGGTATGTATTCTGTACAGAATCGCGTGGCTATTTGCTGATGTTTAGGTATGTATTCTGTACACTAGCCGGTGGCTATTTTCTAATGTTTAGGTATGTATTCTGTACAGAATCGCGTGGCTATTTGCTAATATTTAGGTATGTATTCTGTACAGAATCGCGTGGCTATTTGCTGATGTTTAGGTATGTATTCTGTACACTAGCCGGTGGCTATTTGCTAATGTTAAGGTATGTATTCTGTACAGAATCGCGTGGCTATTTGCTAATGTTTAGGTATGTATTCTGTACAGAATCGCGTGGCCATTTGTTAATGTTTAGGTATGTATTCTGTACACTAGCCGGTGGCTATTTGCTAATGTTAAGGTATGTATTCTGTACAGAATCGCGTGGCTATTTGCTAATGTTTAGGTATGTATTCTGTACACTAGCCGGTGGCTATTTGCTAATGTTTAGGTATGCATTCTGTACAGAATCGCGTGGCTATTTGCTAATGTTTAGGTATGTATTCCTTACATTAGCGCATGGCTATTTGCTAATGTTTACGCATGTATTCTGTACAGAATCGCGTGGCTATTTGCTGCAAGATGAGTGGACAAGACTCCCTCAAATTTTCATTGGCAGATATATTCGGACCATGCCACGCTGTGTAAATGAATGTTGGACCAATCATGGGGGTGACCCAAGTCATCTCAAACGTTCATGTTTGACTATGTGCCGTACATGTTGTATACGAATAAAGTACAGTAACGATGATTGAAAATCAATGTTTTTATCGGTGTAAAATATATACTGAAACCTCGCTAACACTGAAACCTCGCTAACTGGAAACCTCCAGACCACATCGACTTATCCTCAGTTACAGACGACTGCAGGGCTATATCTGCACCCTAATATTACACCGTCGGGCACTAGAAAGCATAGATGTAATCAAAACGTTACTAGACTGAAAACAGGCGATGTTACACTGAAACTTAACGCCCAAAACACAACTTAGACACCCGTATCAAATACATCACCATCGAATGACCATTTCTAATTGTTTCATTTTTAGCCACCATCATGCATGTGTGTAAATTTCCTTTACCCGGCAGTTTACATCTTTTATCAAGGCAATGTGGTCGAGATGCAGGTGTCAATGTCTCTATTGTTCCCTTCCCTGGGATTCCAGGTCACAATTTCAGAAGCGACACAGTGGATATTGAATGTTGCTCAGTGCGGCGATAATAAAAAGCAAAACATTTCCCGTGAATTCCTTGGAGCATCTTTTCATATCTGGAAGGATCACTTATATCTTGGAAGAATGTACATCACTTTTACGGATCTGTGTTTGCTAGCTATAGTACAAATCAAGCAAGCGAAATTGGTGTAATAAACACAGGCCGTCATCAGTATGGAAAACCTTGCGTTTTGAGCTAGACTTAGTAAAGCGTTTTGATTATGCCAGGGATATCCGTATTTCAAACTTGTATGTAGAGGTTGAATTGTTGGCATGTGAGAAAAGAGGATGTTAATAGTTGTGTGTGTGTGTGTGTTCGTACATTAATGTGACAGGCAAGTCAAGCAAGGGTACAAGTACATCTACACTGTGCAGGTGTCTGATTTCCCCTTCACGTACACGGGTTTTTCTTACGAGTCCTTACGGATCGCCAACTCGTAGTCAATCGCAAGCATCCGTAAATTACTCGCTGGCATCTGTAAATAACTCGTCACGACTCGTAACAACTCGCAGACACATCCGTGAAAGGAGAGGCACAATTTTTGACATGTCAAAAATCATCTTACGATTGTCCACGGATTGATTTACTCGTAACAATCCGTAAGTATAGTAAACCGCTCGCAACAACACGTAACCATCCGTAAACTGCTCGCAAGGATCTGTAAATGACTCGTAACAATTATTTTTACGATTTGGTACGGTTAGTTAACGATTTGTGTACGGATTATTTACGGATTATTACGAGTGCTTACGTGTTGTTTACGATATTATTCGGGTCGTGTTACGATGGCTTTACGGATTGTTACGAATTATCACGAGCACTTTACGTGTAGTTACGAGTACTTTACGAATAGATACGTATACTTTACGTATTCTTACGTATTGTTTACGATTTGGGGAAAGGTATAAAAGCTGCAAAATCGAACCTTTCATTTTCAGTTGTATTAAGACTTCAAGTCATAGAAGTCACATCTCTGCATATCTACTCTACAATATCGGTCGAGGAATATCTGGTAGCTGCTTGGCCTCGTCCTCTTCATTCTGGGCTAGTTGAAGGAGCAATTGTAGAAATTGTTGATATAACTGCAATCTGTTTCTCTCATATGCCATGTTGACTCCCTGGGTGTCAGTTGTCGAATGATGATACATTGAGATTTGCAGGATCTATACATTTTTTGGCAAAAAATCGTAAGGACCCGTAAGTACTAGCAACTAACTCGTAACGAACGTAACAACACGTAAACAGATCGTAACTAACACGTTAAAGCTTCGATGATTAGTAACATTCCGTAATATACTCATAACAAGCCGTAAAAAAGCTCGTAAAAATGCCCGTAAGTTGCTCGTAGTTATCCGTGACAACTCGTAACAACTCGTGGAATTTTGGCGTAAATACATCGTAATAACTCGTAATAATCCGTAATAAACCGTAAATAGCACGTAATAACTCGTAACAACTCTTAAATCGGTCGTAAATGTTGCCAAATCGTAAGGATCCTTGAATTTGTGCGATCCGTAAGGACTCGTTAGAAAAGTCCGTGTATGTGTAGGGTGCATAACCTGCAAAATCGAACGCTTCATTTTCAGTTGTTATTGAGAAGTCATAGAAGTCACATCTCTGCATATCTACTCTACAATATCAACAAGCATGGCTCCAAAGAAGAAGGCAGTCAACAAGAAGTCTCCTGCTCTTTGAAATATATAACTGCAATCTGTTTCTCTCATATGCCATGTTGTCTCTCTGGATGTCAGTTGTCGAATGATGATACATTGAAATTTGCAGGATCTATATATTTTTTGGCAGAAAATTGTAAGGACTCGTAAATACTCGTAACTAACTCGTAGTTACGTGTAGCAAGGGTACAACTGCATCTACACACTGTACGTGTCTGAGAGTACCGGGCATGTGTAGCAAGGGTACAAGTGCATCTACACACTGCACCCTTGCTACACGTGCCCGACACTCTCAGACACGTGCAGTGTGTAGATGCACTTGTACCCTTGCTACACGTGCCCGGCACTCTCAGACACGTGCAGTGTGTAGATGCACTTGTACCCTTGCTATACGTGCCCGGCACTCTCAGACACGTGTAATGTGTAGATGCACTTGTACCTT